TCGATCCAGATTTCTTGTAATGGCGTGTTGAGATCGCGTACATCCCAGTATTTTACCGAACCATCGTAGGAGCCGCTATAAAATTCTGAATTCGATTTGGAGTGCACCCAACACAGCGCTGCTGCTTCCTCGCGATGTGCTGCTTCTAAAGGAGATATTTTTATAGCTTTACCGCCATTCCGAGCATCCCAAAGACCCACCATGCCCGAATGCAGACCGGCAGCAATGAAATTTTCATCACGCGGACAGAAATGAGCACGATGCACGGGTTCTGTGGAATCGAGCACTATCTCAGGCTGCAAAGCATTCGCCATATTCCAAACATAGAAAAAGTTCGGATTTATCAAGACAGATCGTGAGGATTCGGTAACTTGTAGTATGCCGGATGGAACAGATGGCGTTGAGTGTAGGTCATCTTCTTCGGTCTTCACGCCTAATGGCGGCGGACGTACCGGTGCAGTAAAGTTAAAGTTAGTGGGTTGCGAAAGAAACCTTTTTTTCTCGTTCGGCATCCAGTCTATTACGGTAATGGGTCGTACGGGTTTCTGTGGATCATGAAATATATTACACTGGCGTGCCTCGAACGGCGTGCGTATATCTTTGCCCAATTCAGGCGGCAGATCGACGAAGAACTCCTGATAGATATTTACAGCACTATTTTGGGCAGTCACATCCATTGATGTGTGTATTAGATTGGTAACTTGCATACCCCAGTTGTCGTCGCGTTCAATCTTCTTGCGGTAACGCATCGTCGACTCTTCATCGTTTATGTTGACTTCGCGCGGCCAGCCACCTTCATAGTGGTACATGCCATGCTCACCGTAAGTGACATTCTCGGTCTCTACCCAGCTAAACGCCATTTGTTCGCTCAGCTGCGTGGTGCGATCCATCGGATTGCGTAGGATGTACGTTGAGCGAATTCGGTGACTAGGCTGTATGCTGAGCATAAGCTGCGTGCGATCGCTCAGTAAGGGCTGACGGCCAAAGCGACGACGCTCACGCGAATAAATATATTGAGTTTGATACATTGGTGCAACTGTTGCAAGGAAGTCAACGAAAAAGTTGAACAAATGTGAAGATTTATAAAAAAAAAAAATAAATTAAAGAAAATATATTCGACAATTGGCAGATGAAAGAATTAAAAATTGTATCAAGGCACATTGAACAGGTAGTATCATCAGAGCAGCTGATTTGATTTTTTTTTTTTCAAATTCTTTGGTCTCGAAAATGTCAAATATTTTCAATTTATTTTCACAAAAATTCTAAATTGTGAAAATCTATTAGCACGAGAAACCTCTTTCCACACAAAACAAGCGATTGAATAGCAGCTTTTGGAACGTTCGCCAACTCAGCAGCACAACCGCTGATTACTGGGCCTTGCAAAAGATGGATCAATGCTTCGAGAAGCGAACGAATTTATTATGAAAGAATGTTGCAACAATTTGAATTTTTTTCCAATAACATTTTTTTATTTTTTGTATTTCACATGGCACGCTTTGATTTATAAGAAAAAAATCAGAAGAATTTTTGACACTTTCGATACCAGAAGCAACAAAAAAATACACGAAAATGTGGTTTTTGCCTGTTTGATATGCCTTGAATTGTATAGAGCAATCATCATGGCGGATTGAATCATGAGCAATCATCATAAAAATATAGCCTTATCATGAGTTTCATTTTCCCCGAACCGAACTCTTGAGCTCATCTGCTCGAAAATATCAGCCCAAAGGTCACACGTCTGCCCCAGAGGTGTGAATAGTATACGACTTAAGTATCACAAAACTACTTTGTTCTGGCGTTGACACAAACTTATACTTTCATAATTAGGGTGAATTGCCATAACTATGTATGTTATCTAAGTAGGGTGTGCTGTCTAATGTAGATCATGTCGGATGATGCCGCGGCAGCTCAGATAGTCAGACAGTGTTGCGGTTTCCAACATAAGATTGATTCGCCTTCTCACAATTAGCCCACTTCCGAACCGGAGTTGGGTTGTTATCCAAAGGATATTTGGAGTAAGCACCAGAGGTCGTGAGCTGCTTAAACCGGATGCAAAAGTATCGTTTTTGGCCACTTCCTGCTGAATGGCTATCAGAAACTTTTCACACATGCGTGGACTTTTGCACCCACAACTACCCTCCATCTCCTATTAGTCTTTTTTTTTTAATTTTATTCTTTTTCAATTTTATTTTAATTTTTTGATCTTATTATTTTGAAAAAGTTTTTTTTCCTTTTGTAAATTTTATTTATTTTTTTTTAATATAATTTTTTATATACTTTTTATAACTTTTAGCTTTTGTTGTTAAAAAAAATATTTTTTTTTTAATTTCAGGTAATTTTTGGGAATATATTCTTTTCTTTGCTTTCTTTATATTTAATTTTTTTCTAATAAAATTTATTTTTATTTTTAAATTGTTTTAAAAAGGATTTTTTTATTTAATTTGATTCTTAGAAATTAAGTACCTTTTTTAATTAATTTTTTTTTAATTTTTTTTCTTGTAACTTTTAATATTTATCTTTTTTTACAAAGAAACAAATTTTTAAATACAAAAAATTCTTTTAATTTACTTTTATTTTATTTTATTTTATTTTTTATTTTTTTTTTATTATTTTGTTTTTATTATAATTTTTTCTTTTTTTAGACATGTCTTTAGTTATAATTTTTTATTGTATATTTTTTATTTCATTTAATTTTTATAAAACCTATTGGAGAAGGAAAACTAAGAGCGGCAAGGAGCTGCGTGAAATATAAGCACCACTGAGCCTTAAGATATCAAGCTTTTGGAAACGATATGTTGTTGCAGCTCTGCTTCGATTTATTCGTAGATCATGTAGTTTTAAAGCAACACAAAATAGCTAAAACACCTTGCAAATTAACTGAAAACTGCACCCAGCCTATTTCCATGCTTGCGAATTACCACTAAAACTCCCCCCTAATTAATATTTCCGTGTTAAAAGTAATTTTTTTTAACTACTATGCGGTAGTATTTGTAAATATAATCATATATTTATGCATATTTTCTGTGTGTTTGTATACATTTGTATGAAAGATCATTCTGGTCAGCTTTTTTTCTTTCTGGAAATCCGCAAATACATTTCTATGTAGCTCATTCTTTACGGTAGGGTTGTATGCATGTATGTGAGTAATTTTTTTGTATGCGCTGTGGACTTAAATTTATTTTTTTAGTGTTTTTTGTTATTAGTTACATTACATACATATTTCTTTCAAATTTTCGCAATAACATTGGCATTAGATTTTAAGTTCTTTTTAATAAATTCTTTATTTTTATTTGCTCAATTTTAGCTAAATCACATTTCTTAGAGTTGTTTGAGTTGCAAAATTTGTGTGGAAAAAAATAATGTATTACAAGAATCGAATATAATTTACATATGTATGTATTAACCAGTAAACAGAATCAGTTGGAAAAACATTTAAAAACTCAATATTAAGAAATGCATGATTCCACTATTTGAAAGCAAAGCAAGTAATTTAGAAATCTAAAATTTTTGACAGGGTCTTAAGCAGTATATGTACACTTGTGGTCAGCTGATTAAGTCAAGTGACATTTTGATTTGTTTTGGCTATTTTTCTTTTGCTTATTTAATGTTTATAACTTTTTTATAAACGTTAAGCACTTTACCTAACCAGCGCCACATAAATCCACATTTCGAATTTCTTACAAAAATTATGAAAATTCCACAAACTTTAACATTTGCACCAAAAAATTTTAAACTTTTAATTCTGAATTAAAAAAAAATATATTGGGCATGCAGTTTTGTACCTCCTTAAATTTTAGTAGGTCTCCCATACAAATGAAATCGGCGAGCATATTTTATATGGAAGAAAATGCACAACACCGTCAGCCAAAAAAATTATTAAAAATCAACGCGATTTCTAGCGTCTCGAAATTTGCACTTTAACCTACTAAAATTTAATGAGCTTCAAAACTGCATACCCAGAATTTTTCTGAAAATTCTGAATAAACGGTTTGAAATTTTCTGGTGCTAATGTTAAAGTTTGAGTTTTCATTTTTGTGCGAAGTTTGAAATGTGGCTTTTTTGTGGGTTGGTTAGGACTTTACTTTACGTTTAAAATCGATTTTGAGAGTGATTTTTGAATTTCCTGTGGACCAACTTTAAATGCAATACTTTACATGTCAATAAACATCTATAAATTATCCCCTGATTATCTGAATCCGGCCTTGTCCATAACCTATAGCTTGGGCTACGAACTGCTACCCCACACAGAATATTTTCGCGATTTAGCCTTATCCACCTATTTAGGATTTTAAGGAAACCTATTATAAGTTCGCTAAGTACTGTTAACTATAGAGCCATGAAAAATGATTTCATGAATAACTTGTTACTTTCAGGGTTACAGAAACTTTAAGCAAAGATTTGTGAAGACTTCCAGCAGGGTCATAACCTGAACTAGGACATTTAGAAATTAAAATTCACTGTTATAGAATGTTTTCATTAAAATAAGTGAAACGATAATTAACCTTTCAAATCTACAGGTTTTTATACACAAATATCTACGTGCAGTACGCCTTCGATTAAAGCAATACCCTAATATTTATCATTAGGAACTCTGTAATTGCCACTTTTCACATAATTTTAGCCTAAGTAAATGCAAATTTTCATCCATAATTTCTTATTAGGGGTATTCTCTGAGTCTTGTATGAATCTTTTTAATGGAATAAACATAATACTGTTACCTAATTTTAAGATGAACAATAATGTTTTATTTTTGCATAGTTTCACATTTAAGGCTCAATACTTTTGTAACTTAGCTATAGCAATCAACCCAATCAATGCAACAGTCCCAAATTTAAGCGATTGCTTTTGCGGAAGGCATACTGCATATGAAGAGCAGTCTAACTCACACTTTCTTCTGGCTTTAGAAATTTGTCGAAGATTAAAAAATTAAATTTCCTGGCCAATTATAATAAAAAAATAAATTGTTTAGAACGAGTAAAGTTAAAAGCAAACACAAAATCTAGTATTTTCAAACATACATGTGTATGCATGTATGTATGTATGATTTTTTATTTGTGAAATGAGTACTTTTTGATGCATGTACTAACGTAGGAATATTTAATTCAGCCGAGTAATCGTTTTTTTTTTTCTATGCATGCTTACGAATCTAAAACATATAATTTTTATGGAACAATGTGGATTGTATAAAAAATTAGAAAGTTGTTGGAAAGATTCACAAATCGCAATAGATCTTACTAAGTAGCTGAATTTCAAATACACACGTACATAAATCTTTTTTTTCAAGTTATCACTGTACTTTGTTTGCCTTATCTAAGTAGTTTCACACTTTTGCATATATATGTATATTTAAATTTTCATCATCTCATTTTTATACTAAGCAGTTTTTTTTAAATTCATAAATATATGTATATAGTTATCTCCATAACTTAATATTCATAGCGCACCAGTTTTCCAGCTGCCTTTAAAATTATCATTTCAAATATCAACAAACCACAATTGCTCTAAACACACTTTTCTTTCGCTTCTTCTGCTTTTTTCGATTTTCCCGTTCCCCAAATGTACTTATTTAGTTTCTTAAAAGCCTATTTACAATGAGAAATATTTTAGAAATTGTGCCGGTGGCACTGGCTGTGCCACCACCAACTGACCACCGCCCGCCGCATCTTCCAATCGCTGCTTGTAATCGGGCATTTCATCGGCAATGCATGGATGGCCCTCAGATGGCCAGAATAAACAGGAACATATGCGGCATAGTTCCAGCACTTCGGCAAATTGATAGTCATCATTAACGCCATAGGTGCGTCTCAAATGATGATAGATCTTTTTCCAGTCCTTTACCTCGTTCATTAGTTTAATATTATTAAGATCCAGTATTAAGTTTATTTGATGTTGTTTGAAGTGGAAGCGACATAGTTCGCGCCAAATGCGTTGCTCCGAAATGAGTGAGGCCATGGTTTGCCAGGCATTGGCGGAGGCCTAAAGTTTAGAGAGATAATTGTATTGGATTAGTTTTCATTGATGTATTTAGGAACGCTTATGTATGTATATAAAATGGTGTGCTCACTTCGAGATCTTTATGATCGGCTATGCGTAAAATTATCTCACGTATGCACTCTTCAGGTAAATCATGCAATTTTGGACGTATTTCTGGACCGGGCTGGAAAATTTCAACAAAAATATAATTTTAAATAATGAATATTTTGTAATTTAACTATTTGTAGTTGAAGCAGTTAATTAACAAAAGGCTGTTTCACACTAGAATGACAGAACAAGTATTTTCACGGTTTCACACTGATTAGAGTGGTCTGGTATTTAAATAATTATGTACTTGCCTAGGCATTATGTATCTACACAATTTGGGACTGAGAATATTCCGAATTGTTTTTTTTTTTTGGAACTTGAAATCGTCTGACGGAAGTTACCGCCGACAGAAAGTTTCTGGCAATATTAAATACCTGAACGTGAAAAGGTGTCAAGTCTATTTTTAGAAATTGTCTAGGCGAGACGAAAAATCGATGTAGTTGCGCATTATCTGTCATTCTGCATCAAAAACTAAATTTTGAAAAAGTGGAGTTGGCGCCTTTTCACATTAAGGTAGCGATATGTATAAAAACCAGCACTTCGAATCTAACAAGCAACTTAAGAGAAGGATCTCTTTTCTGAGCGTTTGGAGAACATATACGATTTCAATGCCAGGGTGGGCAAAGAAGGGATATTTGGCTCCCCCGTCGGAAAATTTAGTCTGCACGACGAAACGTCCGATAACTCACTGAGGCTGATAAATTTCGGCGGGGTCCGAAACATTGTAGTATGCAGTAGTATCGACATCATCGGTAACGAAAACCGCAAAGGTAGGCAAAGCGAATAAGTCTGGTGGTAAACGAGGACAAAATGAAGTATCTCCTGTTATCAAACAAACAGTCAGCGCATTGGAGCCTTGGTACCCACGTCACTGTGGAAAGCTATAGTTTCGAGAAAGTAGAGAATTTCGTTTACTTGGGAACCAGCATTAACACCGACAATAATGTCTGCATCGAAATCCAACGCAGAATCACTCTTGTCAACAACTGCTACTTTGGACTGAGTAGGCAATTCGGGAGTAAAGTCCTCTCTCGACATACAAAAATCACACTCTATAAAGGTGAAATTAGTCAAGAACGCAGAACTCATACTTAAACTACAGTGTTGCCACTCATACCTTTTCATAAACTTACCTTTTCAATTACAATTTTTCGTGCTATAATAAATGCTAGCTAAATATAAACCACATATTTTCCAACAAAAAACCTTATTCGATAGTAAATTTTAAATATTTTAAACGTATTTTGAATAGCAACTTATTTCTTTTTTACCATCTGCAAAACTGACGAAGTGGTAACCATCTATAGAAGGAAGATATCAGCTGACACGGAAAAATTTAAATTCCGCAGATTTCTGCGCTACGGGCTACAACTACAGAAAAATTCGGAGGTGCTGAGTTTTAATTTACATGGCGCTCTGGTCAGACAGATCGTATCTGCTGACTCGGGTTTACGTACCGGTGGGTTTACGTTACGTTGACTAATTTCACCTTAAGTCCCTCCTCATTCTTGTGCTGATATATGGCGCAGAAGCATGCACAATGACAATATCCGATGAGACTTTACGACATGGACATAATGCGGCGAATTAAAATTCATTGACTTCGCTGCCTTGACCATGTCTTCGAATGGACACCGACGCTCTAGCGTTGAAAGTATTCTACTCGGAACCCGCTGGTAGTAGCAAAAGAAGAAGGATGCCCCACTTCGATGGAAGGACCAAGTGGAGAAGAACTTGGCTTTACTAGGCATTCCCAATTGGCACAGAAGAGAAACGTCTGGTGTGCTTTGTTGAATTCGGCCCAAATCGCTTAGGCGGATACAGCGCCAAATGAGAAGAAGAAGTAAGATGTAAAAGGGTCGCTTACCCAAGCAAGCACATACACATACATTCTTAAACACATCAAATTTAAGGTCTAGCGGCATTGAAATCTTGGATGATGTGAACAACTTTTGTTATTTGTGTTCGCCGAGGGTATTGCAATTTCCTGTAAAACTTCCGCTAAACTCTATAAACGCTAAGCGCAAGAAATGAAAAATAAATAATGATAGCTATTTTCCGTTTACCACCTGTAACATTTGCCTTACAAGCATATACTATACATAGACATACTTATAATTAAATTGACAAACAAATGCAACAAAAAATGCACTCAGCCTTACCTCTTTGATTTCGATTTGACTAGCAACGGTTTGTATACGTTTTATAGTCTCGATATGCTCCTGCCACAGATTGGTGCTACCCAACGGCTTCCCCCAACACTTTTGACTCTCCTGTAAAACGATTTCTTGAAGTTGTATAACCAAACCACGCAACACATTCAAATGCTGCTGACTGTCGTTGACTGATAAGCGAAGTAGCGTGAAAATGGTAAACGGTTCGTTCGTTGGTGTGTTAGTTGGTTGATTGTTTTTTTGGAACGAGTTGACATGGACCAATTACCGGTTTTTATAACATTTGCACGCAGATCACAAAGCGATGTTCAATTGCAAAGAGTGGCAGCGAATGGTCCATTATTAATTTAGGAAGAAAAAATAAAAAGATAGAGAAATTACAAATGCAGGAAATTTTACGAATGTAATAAAATTAGCGACACTTTAAGGCTCCTAAATTGTGTGCACAAACCAGTTGCATAATGCAACAATCATAGCAGCAGTCGGTGAATGGAGTTGAGAGGCTAAGTAATTAATTTAGCGAGCGGAAATGAATGCCACTTTTTGCCATGTAAATTTATTTTTCGTATACTGCTACTGTTGCTGCTAACACATATGTATGTATGTACGTAGAGGCAAGCTAAATTTTGTCAGTATTATGTGCACTTACCATGTGTGGCCACATCTTCCACAATTTGCATCAGCACCCGTTGCGCGCTGCCAGACAAGTTGACGATACCCTTGTGGGATACCAAGAGTCGCAGCAGTGCACAAATATAGTGGAAGCGTTTGTGATTGCGCAGCGAAGTTCGAAAGTCCAGACGTCGCACCACTTCGCCAAGTCCATTGAAACCGGCAATTTCGCGTGTACAACGCACTGTTATGTGGCAGTGTGGTGGGACGATAACTTCGTCGGCGTCTTCATCGAAACTATCGTCCGAACTGGATGGAAGTCTGAAAACATGAAAGAAAATGGAATAATATGAGAAGTCTTTTGTATACAGAATCTTTACTGGGTAAAATGTTTGCTTTTGTTCGAGCATGCCATATGAGGAGATTAATTGTCCACGTTTATACCCGAATCAATTGTATCCGTTAGAAATGAATCGGAGGCTAATTGATGTCAAGGAATGTGTCGAGACTAATCGATCTTCAATAATAATCGTATGATACTAGTTGCGAGTAATTAATGCCCAATTGTACCAGATTGAGGCTAATCCCGGAATACTCTATTTACAAATTCGTCGCGAAATCTTTTGCAGGTTATGAATAATAAAAAACTTCTACATACATATTACACATTAGAGTGCATCACCAAAAAACATTGCCGGTTTTCTAAAATTAATTATATTTTAAGACTTCTGCCAAAATATTTCGCAAAAATATTAAAATTTACGTTAGCTAAACCGATTTGGAAATAACCCCATTGTTTTGATTCAGTTGATACAATTTTTATATATTTTTATGCAGATCATTTAAGCTTAGCTTAAACTCTTCTATCATCTGATGTAATATTTTAGAAAAAATATTTTTTAAAACCTGACTTTATTTAAAACAAAAACTTGGTTTTTGGAAGTATTTTCAAATAGGTCCAGCCCACGTAAATCTTAATGTTTTTCCGAAATGGCGGTGGTCTTAAAATATTATAAATTTTTTATTTTCAATAGAAAAACATGGAGAGTGATGCATCCTATTCTACATACACACATACGTATAAAGTAAATATTTATAAATACTTGTGCGTAGGCATAACACTTCAGTACATATGCATCGCTCATTCCCACCATCCTCTTCAGATCAGCGTTGTGTGCACGCGATTCTAAGTGCAGATGCGCTTTAAATATTTACAGCAGTAAGTGTGTACAAAGAACTAAAAATAAAATTAAATAATTAAGTATGAAAAATAAGAGCATTGAGATACAAGAAGGTAGACGAACGCTTGATGCCACTATATTGAGTGATTTATGTGCAACATTTGTTGCATTGCAATGTGTTACACGAATGCCATAGGTGACAGAGTAGAAAGGCATGTAGCAGAAGTATACTTAATGGATGGAGTTTTGTTTATATAGTGAGCAATTTTTATGTAGACATTGGAGAATTGTTGTTCACAAAGCAAAGGTAAATGTTTTACATGAAGATTATACATGTACAAAACATTCATTCGTACAGAAAGAAAAATATTATGTTTTTATTGTAAAAACTAAAAAAGTTAAATTTGAAGCCAGTCGCCGTCAAGCGATGAGTACGAGTAGTTTAGGTTTCGAATCAATTTATTTATTTATTTATTACGGTCGTATGACATACATATTTGTATATACACATATGACACATATATAACAAAAATTGCAAAGTCCACATTTATTCATTAAAAGTAGGGATAGCGTAATGTTAGTTTTTTTATACACTTATTTTAATTTTTCTTTTAATCTAAGTGAATATTTTAGGTGAAATATTTTAGATAAATTGTGTAGAATCGAAAATAAGTGGCAACCTTACACTATTGTCCCAAGGGAATAACATTTTCTATATAGAAAAAGCATTGTTTAAGAACCTTCTCTTGGTACCCATGAATAGTAATACTTTACCTTTTTTCTAAACAAAAAATGACATAAATATGCGATTCAAAATAGGTGGCAACCCTATTACAAATATTTTTGAATTAGGGATCTTTAAAATACCTTCCATTTGATACCAATACTATGATGTTTCAATTAATTTGCAACTAATTTCGAATAGGTGGCAACCTTATACTAGTCTTATCGGAGATAGTGCCTATTTAGATAATCTTAAAATCCATTACATTATCTCTGTACAAAATTTCATCAAAATCTTTAGAGCCACTTCCGAGAACGCTAGGGATATATATATATATATATATATAGAAAGGTATTTTGAAGTGCAGACAATTTTTCAAACTTCAAATTCAATTCAAAAGTGACACCAATCTCAATGCCATACAGGTACACTTTTTTTTTCTATCCTTTGATAGTAACTTAAATGGCCAAACATTTTTTAGGACATTCTAAAATCAATTTTCCTTGGCCAAAACAGATACTCCCTCATTTAGGTAAGCAAACTCTCTACGTACATGTGTAGGTGTAGATACACGATGGCAAACACAGACTCTTGCCAAGGACTCATGTCCATGAAACTTCATCGACACAACAGCGCCCAGATATCGCATTTAAAACGCCAATCAATCAAAGACATTGCACTCGTTGAGGGCGAGGATATCCAATGCAAAATCCTTTGTTTTTGGCTTATACATTCATGTATGTATATGTAAGTATATGGTTCGAAAAGTTCATTGAAATCCAAGGCCAAGCTTCCTCCCATAAGGCAATAACTCTAAATTCGCGAAAGGTAAAGGGGTGCACGAATGGTAGGTGTAGCAATGATAGCATGGATATACACACTTATTCATATTTGTAAGTACATTAGACTGCATCACCAAAAAAAGTTGCGCTTTTTCCACCGGGATTTCAAAATATATTATATTTTAAGACGTTAAGATTAGGATGTAAGCGAGCTGGACCGATTTGAAAATACCTCCAAAAGTGGAGTTTTTTATGAATAAAAATAGTTTCTTAAAAATATTTTTGAAAAAAGTCCCCTCAGATGACAAAACAGATTAGGCTTAAAAAATCTACATACAAATATTTAAAAATCTTTTCAACGAAATCGTAATAATGAGATTTTTGATGCTGTTTTTTTTACTTTTTCCAAAGACTGATTCACGCAAAACTGAAATAACTGGGCCAATACTATTCTGAATTAGACTTGTGGGATCTCAGTAGAAAGGTATTTTCCCACTATTTTTATTTATGTGCAAAAAAAGTCATTCGTGTCCCAATTTGTTTTCAAATACCAACACAAATAACAATTCAACTTTGAATGATGTTCGTTCATCCTATCTTTCTCTTTCATCCTTTCAATGAGCTTATTAGTAAAGAATTAAAAAGGGTGAGAAAATGTCTTTCCCATCATACCTCACAAGTCTAAATCGGAAGAGTTTAGGTTCAGTTGTTCAAGTTTTTCTTATATCAATCTTTGAAAGAGTTAAAAAAACAGCATCAAAAATCTCATTCCGTTCAAATTTTTCTTTCATTTTTTTTAAATATTTTTATGCAAATTTTTTAAGCTTAAGTCGTTTTGTCACTTGAGGGGAATTTTTCAAAAAACATCTTTTAGAAACTATTTTTATACCCGAGCGCACTTGTGCACAAGGGTATATTAATTTTGTTCACATAACGGTTGTTTGTAACAGCCAAAACGAATCGAGATAGATATAGACAAATGCATGATCAGGATGAAAAAAGAAATCGATTAAGCTATGTCTGTCTGTCCGTCCGTCTGTCCGTGTACACGATAACTCGAGCAAAAATTGAGATATGTCAACGAAATTTGGTATGTAGATTTCCCTTAATCCAAGGTAGGTTGGTATTGAAAATGGGCGAAATCGGACTGTAACCACGCCCACTTCCCATATAACGGTAATTTCCAGAAATACGAAAACTGCGATATTTTAGTAACTACTGAAGATAATTCACTCAAAATTGATATTTATAATAAGTTTTAGACGAAAAATAAGAATATTATAAATTTTTGGAAAATGGGCGTAGCCACGCCCACTTATGGTTACATGTGTATATCTTGGTAACCGCTGCACCAATTTCCTCCAAACTTGGCACAGTTGTTGACCTTCGCACAACATACGAAATGGCCGAAAATTTTTAAAATCGCTCAATAACCACGCCTACTTCCCAAATAACGGTCATTTTCAGAAATACGAAAACTGTGATATTTTAGTAACTACTGGAGATTATTCACTCAAAATTGATATTTACAATAATTTTTAGACGAAAAATAAGAATATTATATATTTTTGGAAAATGGGCGTAGCCACGCCCACTTATGGTTACATATGTATATCTTGGTAACCGCTGCACCAATTTCTTCCAAACTTGGCACAGTTGTTGGCCTTGGTACAGCATAAAAATCCGCCGAAACCCCACGCCCACATCCCATATAACGGTAATTTAGAGAAATACAAAATCTTCGATAAATCATTAAATATTGAAGCTAATTTATTCAAAATTGATGCTTGCAACAATTCTTTACCAAGAAATACGTTTATGGTAAAATTTTGGAAAATGGGCGTGGCACCGCCCAATTATGATCACATATAAGTATATCGGTAACCGTTCTACCAATTTGTACCAAACTCGGTGTGGTTATTGTGCTTGTCACATATAAGCAAAACGTTGAAAATCATTGAAATCGGACTAAAATAACGGCCGCTTCTCATATTACGGTAAATTTCAGAAATGCTTGAAACTTCAATATTTCGAAATTGAAGGACGCTAATTTACTCAAAATTGATACACCCCGGCTTACCATCTAGCGGAAGGTTTCGGAAAGGTGAAAAAACATATATTTAATACTTGCGCCGGGTATTTAATGTTCGGCTCCGCCCGAACTTAGACTTTCTTACTTGTTATTCATAAAAAACTCCATTTTTGGAGGTATTTTCAAATCGGTCCAGCTCGCTAAAATCTTTATATTTTTCCGTAATATTTTGGTGGACATCTTAAAATATAATAGATTTTATAATTCCAATGGAAAAACAGTACCGATTATTTTTTTTTTGTATGGGGAGTGATGCAGTCTAATGTACATATATGTAAATAAATACATATTGGCATTTAAGGACATTTGATGATGTATGTATGTAATACAGATGCAGTAAACGAGTGGCTTGATTCACCATTCAATCAAGAGAAGAATCTCACTTTCAGTCTCCCAATGCTGCGATTGACCTTGATACAAACATACCTAAATATATGTACATAAATAACGGGTGATTTTTTAAGAGCTTGATAACTTTTTTTTAAAAAAAAACGCATAAAATTTGCAAAATCTCATCGGTTCTTTATTTGAAACGTTAGATT